TGGTGACTACAGTTAGAGATATATATTACATATTTGAAATTTCCTGAAGGAGTAAATTTTAAAAATTCTCTTCACAAGAAAAAATCTGTATGTATGGTGACAGATGTTAACTAGATTTATTGTGGTGACTATTTCAATGTATATGAATGTAAAGTATGTTGTACACCTGAAACTAATATTATATGTCAGTTTTAACTCAGTAAAAAAAGAAGGCTTCAAATAGTCACTTGATCACTCAAAATTTGCTCCCTAATTCTCTAAGGGCTTTTTTGGAAAAGTGTTTTAATCTAAGATTTTAAAATGTTCGTAATTGGGTAGATTCATATAAAAGGGTACTTTAAAAAAATTATCCCTGTGGCTACAATATATTTTTAAAAATTTTTCACCCATTTAAATATTTAACACACGGGATGGTACTTTGATGGGGAAAGTGCTCTAACTTTTAAATTTAGCTTTACTATTTCTGCTATTAGAAAAACAGAAGACTCAATAAAGTAATGCCTCATCTGTATATGTAAATTGAGAATGTGTTTTATAATATTTAGGTACAACTTTTTGGGAAACTACTCTGTTCCATTCCTTGTTTAAATAATCGATCAAGTTACTGAAGTAACGAAGTATGGAATGTGTTCAGAATGATTTGAGTCAAAAGTTTTTTAAAGCAAGTGACATCATTCTCTGATGGTAGAAAAATCTGAATGTTCCTCTGACAAGTTCAGTTTTAACAATATAGCTTCTTGTGAATTTGTTGCAAAAATGAATCACTCACTGAATTAAGTGGTTGTTATAACTTTCATACTTGTAAAATAATCCTATCTATAAATATTTTTGATGTTAAAATGATCCTTCCACTTTCATTTGAAAATATATGCTTTTTTTGAATGTTAAATCAAAAAATCGATTATGTAGTTTTTACTAAATGGAAGGTAGACTTTTATATACACATTTCATGGCCATCAGAAACATACTTTTAGAATGAAAATACAACTGGAAATTTATAATCATTTTTTAAAATGTGAATTCTGTGACAAGGAAGGAGTAGAATTTGCTACAGTTTATTAAAAAGCTAGGCTATGTCTCATTATTTATGTAAAATAGTGTTCTTTGTTTAGCTTCTTATAGTGCTAGGAGAATTGTGTAGTTCCATTGATTGGTTCCATGCAGTGGAAATTTGACCTTTAGCAGATGTTTGAGAAATTGCCAGCACAGCATGATCAACCAAGTAGACAGTTTTCTCCTTGTTATTTGACAGGCCTTTGGTGGTTTAGTAACATGCCAAAGAAATTTTAACCTCCTTTTCATAATATCAAAAGCTTTTTAAACTACTAAGAACGCATTGAAAAATAGTGATAAAATGAGGCAGATTGTTATTGCCAAATCATGGTTTTAAAATTCAGGTAATTTGAAAATATTCACTTATTTAAAAATATGTGAAGAAAATCCTAATTGTTACATTAATAATATTTTACTTTTTATTAAAAATATTTTTGCCTTTGAAATTGTCATGTGTTGAAATAAATATTTTTGCTTTGGTTGTGTTTTTTCCATGGGCAGTTTAAATATTGCAAGTCTATCTTATTTGATGTTTTTAATTAGCTGTAAATGTCTTATTTAGTTGATATTTAATTGTAAATGCCTTTTAAAAAATCAAACTTTGATAGAGGTTAAAGGTACCCTATCTGGAACTCTTAGCTAGGAGCAGGATGCTGAAGGAATGTGTGTTAAAGCCTGTTCTCTGAAGGACAGTATTTTAAAGAAGATGTAAGGGGTTCAGCTGTGTAGTTGTGGGATTTTAAATGTGAACACTCTAAGCTCTGTTTCCTTCAGCTGATCGATTGAGTGTGCAGGAAGGGAAAGAGGGGGAAAAGGAATGCCTTAGTGTTTGAGAATTAAGTGATGAATTGATACTACCAGCAGTTGCCAGACTGGATCTTTTCCTGCAGGTGCTGGTTATTCATAGGGAATTGCAGTTGCTTTTCTTTTTCTTTTTCTTTTTTTTTTTAAAGATTTATTTATTTATTTATTTATACAAGCACTGGGTACAGTCAGAAGCGTGGGAGGGCGAGAGAATTCACCAGAGCCAGAGCAGGGAGCAGAGCAGGCAGAAGGACCGAAGTACACTGCTGAGGGGAGCAGCGGGAGTGGTCTGCGAGCCTGCAGTTGCTTTTCATTGTGTCAGATGTGGAAAAAAAGATTTTAAGGAAAGTCAAAGGACTATAATCTTACATAGTTCCATTTTAGGGCTTTGTAACAATTTCGTGTGCCTTAGGTTTATGTAGTAAAGTGGTCGTTCTTAATAAAAGATTGCAGTCTATAAACACTTATCTCCTAAAAAAATAAAGATGTTTAAGAATGTATAAGTCACTATCAATAGTTCCAAGAATATTCTCAAATATAAAGCTTAAAAATCAAACCTAATGCTATAGTTTTGCTGCGTTCTTGTAAACCAAACCAATGGCCAATATAGATTGTGCTGCAAATGAAAGCCAATTTTATTTGTTCATATATAAAAGTTTTAAAGGAAACAATATAGATGATTGCCCAGTAATACAGTAATAGTAACCTTTTATGTTGGTGCTGATAAAAGTAGGAAGTGATAAATAATTCAGCAAACAAGTGGCTTTAAAAAATATGTATATTGGTAGGTCACTAAAATTTATAAGTCAAATTAAAACGAAGTATATCTCAACTGTCTGTATTACTTCTGATACTACATACTGATACTAAAGTTTCAGTGATCACTTTGTGTGAAGAGAAAGTATGTTCTTAAGTGAGATTTTGTAAGTGATCACATTCTTTTTCATATGAAGATTGCTACGCTTCTACATTTATTCATTTTTTTAAATTAACATTTTATTTTATATAATTCTTACATCATTTTTCATTTTTGCACAATGTATGCATTTTCATTTTGCTTATATTCCCCATACAAATTGCACCCCCCCTTATTTTGACCCTAGTCCTTCCTCTCCCCTACCTTCCTCCCCCACCCCTCAGTGTGTCTCTGGTTTATAGTTGCTAGTTTATTTTGATTTTTACTTTGTATTAATTAGTCTTTTTCCTGGTCCCTTATTTAAGTTTTCTAAATTCCTGCTATGAGTGAGACCATCCGGTGTTTTTCTTTTTCTTTTGACTTGTTTCCCTGAGCATGATCCCTTCTAGCTCCATCCATGTAAAACATGATTCTTCATGACAATTCAATGTTTTTGTTTTTTTTAATATTTTATTTTATATAATTCTTAGATCATTTTCATCTTTGCCTAAAGTATGCATTTTTATTATGGTTATATTCCCCATACAATTGCACCCCCCCCCATTTGACTCTAGTCCTTCCTCTCCCTGTCCCTCCCTTCCCCCCCAACATCAACATCACTTGTAATCAGGGAAATGCAAATCAAAACTACCCTGAGATACCATCTTACACCAGTGAGAATGGCACATATTAAAAAAAACTAACAACAACAAATGTTGGCGAGGTTGTGGAGAAAAAGGAATTCTCCTGCACTGGTGGTGGGAGTGCAAACTGGTCCAACCACTATGGAGAGCTGTGTGGAGATTTTTTGACCCGCTAAACATAGAGCTTCCATATGATCCAGCAATTCCTCTCCTAAGTATTTATCCAAATGACACAGAAACATCAACTCCAAAGAGCACCTGCACCCCTATGTTTATAGCAGCACTATTTACAATAGCTAAGCTATGGAAAAAACCAAAATGCCCCAGAATAGATGACTGGATCAAGAAGATGTGGTACATATACACAATGGAATATTACTCAGCAATCTAAAAAGATAAACATATGCAGTTTGCAGCAACATGGATGGAGCTAGAAGGGATCATGCTCAGCGAAATAAGCCAGAAAGAAAAAAGAAAAATACCGGATGGTCTCACTCATGGCAGGAATTTAGAAAACTTAAATAAGAAACCACGAAAAAGACTAATGAATACAAAGTAAAAATCAAAATCAACACGCAACTGTAAACCAGAGACATTTATTCATTTTGAAAACCAGTGGAGGGAAGTTGTAAACTTAGAGGGTTGTAGGGTGGGCATAGCCAAGGAGAAATAATTTCAATCGCATTCACTCTTAAAGCCATTTTAGGTAGACAACTCTTATTTTTCAAATCATCCAACACACCTTATCTTTTATTTCCAGCTTCAGGATCTGAGTTTTTTCCCCGTATATTTGATAGTGTGATTTTCATGCATTTGTATTTTTCTCATTTCTAAATAATAGATTTATACTTAACTTGTGGGGGGGAGGCATGGAAGAACTAGTGTGTAGGCCAGAGGAGCTGGGGTGGTGAGAGGCTTCACCAGAGAGAGGGGAACAGAATAGGAGGATTTACTGAATACACTGTTAAGGGAAGCAGCAGGTGAGACAGGAGAGATCTACTGCACATGTGTGGGTTAGCTACCGGCCAGGAATTGAACTCAGGCCATAGTGGTTATATCACTAAAACTTAACCCCTAAGCCACCAGGGAGGCCCCAGATTCATGCTTATCCTTTGGGCAGGGAACTCATTATCAGAATCACATGAAGAGACCACAAAAAAAGAAACAACTCTAGGTGATCTAGTTAAACTTGAGATCTCTGAATTGAAATTTCTAAAACAAAATATAACAGAGTAAAGGGCACTGTTTAAAGTTAGAAAAGAACTGTTTTCTTAATGATTTTAGAAAAATACATAATAATTCACCTCACATTTTCTGAAATCCAGTTGTTTTTGTAAAAATGTATTTGTTTCTTTCATTTAATGTTTATCAATCATACTATCTTCTGGTTTTCTTTCAGGTTTGGATAGAATCAGTTAACCTATTTTTCTTTATTGGTTTGGGACTTAACCATGGTTTTTAATTTTCACATTCTCATTTCCATTGCAAAAATTTTTAATGGTCTTTCAGCTTTTAATTTGTCTTGAAGAAGAAAAATTTATATGCTTGATAGTTCTTAAACATGGCTTTATTTAGATTTCTTAACATTCATTCTCTTTCACACTTTTTCATTCTCTTTCACACACTGCCATATTTTATCTCCTGATATCTCTTTTGTCTCCTAGAAATCAAAAAAAGGCGTAAGTCAGCTGCTGAGGAACCTTTTCCCCACCAGAAAAGAGTTTATCCAACTATTTTATTAGATAAATATATTTGTTCCCTACTGTTTTCCTAGTTCCTAGAGTACTGTGTGGCTTCACTAAAGATTTGTTAAACATTGTTGAAGTTGAGAAAAGTAAATACTCAAAATGTAGACCAGTTCCATTTATTTTTTTTTTTAAGTTTTTCAAATTCTATGTTTCCCATCCATCACCCTTATATTCCTATGGTCCTTTCTCCTTGCCCTCTCTTTCAGAATGTTGGAAACCTTACTTGGCTTATTAGTGTTTGCTTATTTTTCTTTTTTTTAACATTTCGATTTGTTGAATTGTCTATTGTGTAAATATCCAATATTTGCCTTTATCATTCTGACTTTTTCACTGCTCTTAATTCCCTACAACTCCTTCCACTTCGCTTTAAATGGTAAGTTTGTCTTTCCTTATGGCAGAGTTAGCATTATATTGTGTGCATATACCACATCTTACTCCAATCCTTTGTCATTGAACACTTCAGTTGTTTCCCTGTCCTAGCAATTGTATACAATACTGCAATAAATATTGTGGTACTTAAAAATTTTTGAGTTGATGGCTTCATTTTGTTGGAGTAGATGCCCAAAAGTGGACTTGCTGTGTCATATTTTTAGTTTTTTACAATTTATTTTACTTATTTATGCATACAAGAACTTGGGTGCAGGCCAGAGATAGGGTGTGTGTGAGAGGTTTCACCAGAGTCAGAGTAGGGGGCATAACAGGCAGATCTATCTACTGAAATAGACTGCTGAGGGGAGCAGCGGCAAGATAGGAGAGGTCTGCTGTGCTATGTGGGTCAGTTTCCTGGGCAGGGGTTGAACTCATGCTCAAGTGGCTAGTGATAGCTTGATAGCACTGAGACTTTAACCTCTGTGTCACCAGGGAGGCTCTGGAAAAAGATGATGTTCGTGCATTGTTTGAGATGAGGACAAAACACTATATAGCCTGCAACTATATCATTGAGAATAAACAACTAAAGACTAAATGACAGTGTGTCAGGAGATGTAAATCTGAGACAGACTTTAGTATTTCAACATGTTTTCAGCGTCTTTATGCAAAACTTTAATGAATGAAGTATTGGTGTAGAGGTATATATATATTCCTGGACTTAACAGTTATGGTGCATTGAGCCAATACCATATTGTTTTAATTATTGTTGCTTTATAATGTATTTTAAAGTTAGGTAACACAATACTTTCAGTTCCTCTCCTACCCCCCTCAGAATTGCTTTAGCTACTCATGGCTTTTTGTGGTTACATATAAATTTTAATATTTTTACATCTTTGAAAAATATTCTAGGTATTTTAGTGGGCATTGCAGTCATTTTAATTGTGTTGATTTTTCCCATTCAGATGCATGGAATGCTTTTCTATCTTATCTATATCCTTTAATGAGTTCCAATTTAGACATGCTGAACATATAGAGGGAATAGTATAGGTAAGAGATTACACTAAGTTGACTAAATACTAAATACTAAATATTTTATTAACCAATCTGTTACACCCCTCAGCTCTATCAAAGTGATAAAGCTTCTAGGGACAAATGCATAAATGAATGAGATGGTTGTATTTCACTAAAAGTTTGTATACAAAGACAGATAATTGACTTGTGACTAGTATTTGATCTTAGAACTGGTTCTTGATTTTGAAGGTAGCTTTGTTTTCACATTAACATAGTAAGATGACAAAAGAAAGATTTCTAAGGAAATTAGTCTAGCAATAGTATGGAGGCTGGAGGGGAAAAAAAGTGTTTGGAAGCCTGTGAAGAAAATAATTTTGAAACATTTATTCTTGTATAGACTCTACTATATGTGAGATATTTTAAAATTATTTTTATATATTATGTATGTTTTATGTACTTTTATAGTATTCAGGTAGTCCTCCCAAAACCATATGAAGTAAATATTGTTGTGATATTTGAATAGATAAGGAGAATGAAACACAGAGAAGTTAATTTACCTAGGCTTCACGCTGTTACATAGTAGAGCTGCTTTTGAAACTGGAGTGCTCTTCATCAGTGTTGTTTTACTGTGTCTCAGAAGGTAGTTAGGAACTGAACTAGCATGTTGAGAATGAAAGGGACAGACAATATGAGGTAAGTGGATGAACTATGGCCTGATTATGAAGAAAGACTAAACACGTAAGTGAAAGAGAATGATTGGGAAAAGGAGAATGATGAGAGAAAAAACAATTCCCACTGATTGCACCTGAAAATAATCTTTGTAGTACATAATACATAGTACTTATGAAATGTGAGAATAGGACTCATTGAAAAAAGATGTTTGTGCATTGTTTGAGGTGAGGACAAAACACTATAGCCTGCAACTGTATCATCGAGAATAAACAACTAAAGACTAAATGACAGTGTGTCAGGAGATGCAAATCTGAGACAGACTTTAGTATTTCAACATGTTTTCAGCATCTTTATTCAAAACTTTAAATGGGAAGTGACAGATAAAGATAAGTTTTTCTTAAAATTTCTTACATTGTTGTTTATTTTTATACAATATTTTATTTCTCTGTTCTTGTGTAGTCCCTATAAGTCTCCCACCACCCCATCACCTGTGAATAAACACCATAGTCCCTTGTGCTCTTCTCTCCCCTATTTTTACCTTCCCTGCTGTATGCTTCACATCTATAGTTTGCCTGCAAGTTTTTCTTTTTTTTTTTTTCTTTTTAACCCTTGGTTTAGTTTCCCTATATTCTCCCTGTAAGTAAAACTATCCGATCTTTTTCTTTTTACTTCTGACTTATTTCACTGAACATAATCCCTTCCAGTTCCGTCCATGTTGCTGCAGACTCCATGCATTTATCTTTTTTGATTGCTAAATAGTATTCTATTATGTATTTATACCTCATATTCTTGACCCATTCATCTGTTTTGGGACATTTAGGTTGTTACTGTATCTTAACTATTGTAAACATTGCTGCAATAAACATAGGCATGCAAGTTTTCTTTCAAATTCATGTTTTTGTGTCCTTTGCGTCAGTTCCTAGGAATGGAATGGCTGGGTCATATGGTAGCTCCTTTTTTAGTAATTTGAGGAACTTCCACACAGCTTTCCATAGCGGTTGGACTATTTTGCATTCCCACCAGCAGTGTTAGAGGGTTTCTTTTTCTCCTTATCCTCACCAGAGTGAGGTAGTATCTCATTGCAGTTTTGATCTGCATTTCTCTGAGTATAAGTGATGTCGAGCATTTTTTTATATACCTGTTGGCCATTTGCATTTCCTCTTTGGTAAAGTGTCTTTTTAGTTCTTCTGTAAAGATACTATTTTAAGCAATATAGGAGAAAGATTTTCTGAAATACTGATCAGAGGAAATGAATTAAAAAAGAATTTTGAGCTAACGTTGGCTTTCAACACTATATAATTTAGAGGTATAGGATCAGACCTTGCAGACATATGTCACCACACCCACCACCAAGGGACTCATAGCCTCCACCATAGGCCTTTATCTTTTTCCTTCTTACTTATTTCACTTAGCATAATCCCTTTCAATTTCATCCATGTTGTCACAAATGGCAAATTTTCATCTTTTTTTCAATAGCTCAGTAGTATTTTGTGTGTGTGTGTATCTCATCTTTTTAATCCATGTGTCTGTCATTAGACAAATAGGTTGCTTTCATAACTTGGCTATTGTAAATAACCTATGTGATGAACATAGGAACATAGGAACATATGAACATAGGAATATGTATATGCCTTTGAATTACTCATTTTGCATTCTTTGGAGAGACACCCAGGAGTGGAATTGCTGCATCATGTAGTAAATTTATTTTTAATATTTTGAGAAATCTTCACACTGTTTTCCTTAAGGGCTGGAACAGTCTACATTCCCACTAATAGTATACAGTGGTATATAGTGTTCCTTTTTCCCCACATCCTCACCAACACTTTTTGTTTTAGATCTTTTTTAATATGGGCAATTTTCACAGGTGATGCTATCTCAGTGAGGTTTTAGTTTGCATTTCTCTAATCGTTAAGTGGTGAACATTTGTTCCTGTACCTACTGACCCTCTGTATTTCTTCTTTGAAAAAGTACCTATTAGCTTTTCTGCCCATTATTTGACTGGATTACTTTCTTTTTGTTTAGTTGCATGAGTTTTTTGTAGATCTTGGATATTATCCCCTTATTAGTGTGCGAAACGTTTTCTCCCATTCAGTAAGATGTCTTTTTGTTTTATTGATAGTTTTGTTTGCTGTACAGAAGATTTTTAGTTTGAGGTAGTCCCATTTGTTTATACACTTTTTTGTTGTTGGAAATGAATCTACAAAGACATCAACCTAGCCTGTATTGTGGAGTGTTTTGCCTATATTTTCTTCTGTGTATTTTATGGTTTTAGGTCTTACCTCCAAGTCTTTAACATTTTAGGTGAAATTTTATGTATGGTGTGAGATAGTGGTCTAGTTTCATTCTTTTGCATATCGCTCTCCATTATTCCCAAAACCATTTATTGAAGGTACTTTCCTTTTCTCCAGTGTGTATACTCTTTGCTCCTTTGTTATAGGTTAACCGTTCCATATGTGTGTGGGTTTATTTCTCTGTTCTCAATTCCATTGGTCTATGTGTCTGTTTTTGTTCCATTACCGTTCTTTTTTTGATTGGCATGGCTTTATGGTATATTTTGAAGTCTAGGAGAGTGATACCACCATTCGGCCTCTTTTTTGTCAGGATTGCTTTGGATATTCAGGATTTTTTGTGGTGCCACATGAATTTTAGTAATGTTTGTTCTATTTCTTGAAGGAAGCCATTGAAACTTTAATAGGAACTATATTGAATGTTTATATTGCTTTGGATAAGATGCCCATTTTAATAATTTAACTCTTTCAGTCCATGAGCATGAAATATTGTTCCATTTCTTCATGTACTGTCTCTTTAAACAGTGTCTTACAGTTTTCATTGTGCAGGTCCTTCACCTCCTTTGTTTCATTTACTGCCAGGTATTTAATTATTTTTTGATACAGTTGTAAATGAGGTATTATCATGAGTTCACCTCTACTACATTTGCATATGGGTATGTAACTGATTTCTGTTAATTTTGTAACCTGCCACTTTACTGATTTTATTGTTTCAATTAGTTTTTTTAGTGAAATCATTAGGTTTTCTATGTCTGTTATCTGTTTTCTCCAGATAATGATGGTTTTACTACTTCTTTTCCAGTTTGGGTTCCCCTCGTAGCTTTCTCTTGCCTCATTGCTCTAGCTAGGTGTTCCAGAACTGTGTGTTGAATAGTAGTGGTGTAAGTAGACATCCTTGTCTTGTACCAGATTTTTGAGAAAGAGTTCAATTCTTTACATTTGGTATGATATTAACTGTGGGTTTGTCATATGTGGTTATATTATGCTGAGATACATTCCATCCATCCCCATTCTTTGAGGGCTTTTATCATAAATGAATGTTGGGTCTTTATGCTTTTTCAGCATCTATTGATATGTTCAAATAATTTTTACCTTTTCTTTTGTTGATTTGGTCATATGTATTGATTGATTTTTAGATGTATTGATTGATTTTTTTATCAATTGATTTTTATCAATGTATTGATTGGTTTTTATTTTAGATGTATTGATGGATTTTTATCACTGCATCCTTGGAATAAATCCCACTTGCTCATGGTGTATGATACTTTTAATGCATTGTTGAGTTCATTTTGCTCAGTTTTTGTTGAAGATTTTTGCATATGTGTTCTTCAGGGAAGTTGGTTTATAGTTTTTTAATGCTTAGTTTTGATATCAGGGTTTTGAAAACCTGAAAGGAAATATTTTTAAGTAGAAAGTGACTGTTGTAAGCATTCAAAGAATTTTAAGGTGAAAAAATTTTATTTTATTTTTTTTTAAGTTTGTTTTTTTTTTAAGATTTTTCTTTATACAAGAACCTGGGGTACAGGCCAGATGTGCAGGAGGGTGAGAGGATTCACCAGAGACAGAGCGGGGAACGGAACAGGCAGACTGACGAAATACATTGCTGAGGGGAGCAGTGGGCAGGACAGGAGAGGTCTGCCGCACCATGTGGGACCCTCGCCGGCCTGCCGGGATGGAACCGGCACTGCAGAGGCTGCGGACAGCTTCACAGCACTGTGCTCAACCGCCTGCACCACCAGGGGAGGCCCAATGTGAAAAAATTTTAAATTTTAAAGTCTTAAATTTTAAAGAAATAGACTTTAGTACATTCTTATACTGAGTACTGTTAAGCATTTAAAATATTAGTTGATATAACATAATCTTAGTGATAGATCATATAATCCAATGGATGTACTGTGAGAAGAAAAATGAAGAACAGTTAAAATTCCTCAAACCAAAAAGTTAAAGAAGAAATCCACATTCCATGCAAACTAAATGTTGGATGATTTGAACCCATTTTATGGAAAAAAAAAAAGTTAATGAATTTGATCTTGACACATGAACATTTTCTTTAAATAGTATATAGAATTAATAAGGATGTAGATGTAATTTTTTTCATGGGCCCTATAGTGAGCAGTAGTTTAATGTTGCAGTTACTGAGTTATCTAGCCTGCATGGCTGAAAGTTGATTATCTTATATCTTGGGGACTTGAAAATGCTCAGAATTATTTCATATTGGAAGTCATAATTCATTCTGACTCACTTTTCTCCACTATAACTATGTAGTTCTCTTTGGACCTGAAAAAAGTGATATGGCTTGAACAGTGTATTGTGGGAGAAGGCTAATAATAGCCAGTGTTTTGTAATAATAAAAAGATTTAAAAAAAAAGTATGTCATGAAAATCCATGTAAATTACTGGTGTGGACCTAGTGTGTTTATATATTATTAATGTGCTAATTGAAGGAAGAACAATATTATATTTTTGAAAGATTGTTAGATTTGAAATTAAGCATACTTATTCCTTGGTCCTGGCTCTGTCATTAGCTAGTTTTGTGAGTTTTGTATTGTTATGGAACTTGTCTTCAGTTCCTCACCAGTATTTATAGTGGATTTCAAATTCACATATATTATCTATTTCCTATTTCCTTATTTACTGTTAATTTCCTTCATCAGCACTGTTAACCTTTTCCTTACCTCTTAATGTTTCCAGGGGATAAGATAGTTCCTCAGCTGATTTATTCTTTTCATTTGTGCAGTCATGAATGACCTACTGTGTCTAAGGTTACAATGTTCTGGAGAAGCCCAGCTCCGGTTCCATTCCTCCTAGAGCATTCTCCCCCTGGTGATTTTATCCGTGACAAGGTTTCTGGTACTTGTGTTTCCTCACCTTCTTGATCTTGCTTTTGAAATGCTAATAATGCTTTTGAGTTCTGAAACAAATGTTTGGGAGTAAAGAGAGAACATATAAACAAATGTCTCAAAATTGTGTTTCCAAAAATATCAAGAGTAGGTGAAAACGTAAAAACAAGTAAAACTGTAGTACTTACCATACTTACAGTAAAGTTATAATTTTGCTTAGATCGATATCAATGTTTATGAGTAATGTGAACATCATTTCTGTTTGCCTACGTTTAATATATAGTAACTTTTAAATTCTTACAAGCTTTTATTATTTTTCTTGGAACTAATAATTGTATTGCATTTTCTTTCTTTATTCAGTAATTCATGTATTTGCTATAGATTTAATCAGATACTCCCAAGTTACTTGAAATCCTTTCACTACATTCAGGTATGTATATTAACTGTCCTGGCAATTTTATCTTCTTCATGAAATCTTAGGAATTCCTAAAGTCTTTATATATGGACTTCCCAGATCTCTTGTGATCTTACTCTTGCATTCATCATGGTGATACATTTCCTTCTCTTGTTAATTGAATTTTGTTCCTGCATTCCATGCCTTGATTTATACTCTTACTTGGTAAAATATATCATTCACTAATCACTAATTACTTTAAAAAAAACTGCCTGTTAATGACATTTTATGATTCATTCACCTGAAAGTATCTGTATTATGCCCTCAAATTTGTCTCATGCCTACGTAGATATCCAATTCTAGACTAGAGACTGAAATTTATTTTTTCTCAGATTTTTGAAAGCACACATCTAAAATCCCCCACGTTATGTTATTACACTTGAAAAGTCATCCTATTCTGCCTTTTTGGACTTTTATATGAAAGAAATGTGTTGGCATCTTCTCTTTTGTTAATTTCTGTGCTAGACTTTGTGGAGTTACTTTTCAATCTGGGAACTTTGACTGGCATTTCTAGAAATTTTGTTGCAGTTCTAGGAATTTGTTCCTTCAGTATTCTCTTTTCTCTGTTCTTTTTCTCTTAGTGGAACTTTTGTGTTAGGCTATGGGACCATGCTAGGCCTCTTTTTACTTATTTTTTCTTTTGTATATTCTTTTTGTTCTAGTTAATAAGAAAAAATGTTCAGTTTATTAAAGTCTAAACCTTCATTACATTTTTCATTTCTGCTACCATAGTTTAATGTCCCAAAACTCTTTTTGTTCTCCAAAGGTTATTTTTTTGATAGTATCCTGCATCTGTGTTTTGATTATGTATGTTTCTCTTAACCATATTGAGAATATTAATATTCAGTCATTTCTTCTAGTCACTAGTTTGCTGTATAGTTTGGTCTTTTATATTTAATGTTTTCCTCGTATGAAGTATCATTCTGACTACCCACATGTTGCTAAGGTAACATTTAAAACATTGGAAACTCTGAGCTCTGTGTTCTGGGTTTATTGGCAATAATCTTATCCATTTGAAGATCAAGCCATTTGGGGAACATTTAATATCTGTGTATTTAAATATCTTTTAAACTGTTCAGATTTTTCAGAGAAACTGCCTCTCTTTTCCCTGCTTTCAAAGTTACCCCCTTGGAGGTAAAAAGACAACAGGGCAGGAGGGGCTAGTCATCAACATATTTCATTAGGTAAACTTTGACTTATTTCTCTTCTTTCTGTAGTAGTCTCTGCCCTCTACCCTTTTCAATATGCTCCCTGATCCTGATCCACAGACCCTCTGATAACCATTTTTTAAGGTGGCAATTGCCAGAGGAGAGCCAGGGAGAGATCTGTATATCTAACTGTGCTTAAAGTAAATTTTCCTAATTACCCCTTAACCAATTTTGAACCTTTGGGGACGACTGTGTTGTAAATTGGATGTTTATCAGCTTCCCCAAATACTAACTACAGTGTCAGTCTCCTTTATTTCATAAATTCATGAATAGCTAGCTACCTTGTGCTGTTATTTTAATATTTGATGATTCTGCCCATTTTCCCAACTTACTGAAATCTTTAGGAATCTTCATCTTGTCATCTGACATCTTAGTTATTATTCTTAACTTTTAGTCCTGTTGTGTCATTTGAGCTATTTTTGACTAAAGTGTGAGAATAGATTCCTATGGAATAATATTTGAAGACATTCAATCAACTTTAGTTCTTGGTTACTATCCATAAATTATGGTGGTTTATCCAGCTCTAAGTTCTTAGTTACGTTGTGTATTGGCAAACTTATATTTTTTTACATTTTATTATTAAAAATATTTTAGGATCATTTACCATAATATTTTGCTTAAAGAAATCTAATGTATTAGATAGTTTACACTATCCAACCAGTAATGAAGAAATTTGTTGATAAAAAGTACAGGACAGGGCCTCCCCGGTGGCGCAGCGGTTGAGTGCTGGCTTGCGAAGCTGCCCGTGACCTCTGCGGCGCCGGTTTGATCCCCGGCTGCTCCCCGGCCACCAGAGGAGGGTCCCACATGGCGCGCAGACCTCTCCTGCCTCCCGCTGCTCCCCTCAGGAGTGTACTTCGGTCCTTCTGCCTGCTCTGCTCCCCGCTCTGGCTCTGGTGAATTCTCTCACCCTCCCGCGCTTCTGACTGTACCCAGTGCATGTATAAACAAACAAATAAACAAGAAATAAAAAAATAAATATAATACATGCCTCTTTAAAAAAAAAAAAGTACAGGATCACTTGTAGTGAAATAAAGTTGACTCTTGGTATCCCTTTTTCTTTTTCAATGTTTACTTACGTGCACTCTGACAAATAATAGTTTTTGTATTTTCAATATAGAGTGACAACTAGAACTTTTGAATTGTAAGGGTCTGTATTTCTTTGCTACATATTTTTCTAAATCAGAATTCTCCATTTCCAAAACCACTGCATTGTAGAAATTTTCTTTTCGTACAGTATTTTACATATTTTGCACATTAGAGAAGCATGCCTAATTCAGACTTGTGGTTATTTAGGCTCTGTAGAGACTAATTTTCAAAGTGGCTAGATTAGTCTCTTGCTATCTTCTTTTCTCATTTCAACTTCATTTACTTTTTAACTATGTTTCTTCTACCTTTTCCAGTTTTCTACTCAATTCTCCTTGGTGGAGAAGATGGATGCAAAAAAGGAGGTGTGAGTAGTTCTTTATTCTCTCTGCATCTGTTAACATTACATCATCTTTTCCATGCAATATTCTTGTTTCTTCTTAGTTCATTCTCTTACATTTATGCAGCCAGAGAGCCTGTTTGGTTTTCTTTCATATTTATAAAATTCAGTTTATTCTAATAGTATTCTTTTAAGACATAGTAATTTGTAAACATTCTTACATTTTCTTCCATGATTTATATGTTCTTTTAAAATCTGACATTAGAAACTATGTAGTCATGTTTCACTCACTCATCTCCTTTATTCAATTCACTTATATTTATTAAGTTCCTGAAATATATCAGGCCCTAGGAAATCAAATATTGATAAGATACTGCTTTTGCTATTAGAATTTATACTTACGTAGGGAATATCTCTTCCATTTCTAATTAGAATTAACCACATCGGTTTAATTAAAAATTGTAACTTTTGCTTTTTGGTCTCATTCACATTGTTGAATAGCATTTCCTTTTCTCTGGTTTTATAAAAGTGGACTAAGGTTCAGGTTTAACATTGCCTCTGGCAAATGTTAACTATGTATTGTTGAATAAATCACTTAATATTTCTGGATCCTAGAATTTGCAGCTATCAAATATGTTTAATATCTGCTTTATAGTGTTATATTGAGAATTTGGATGTTAAAAATGAATTAAGGCGGGCCTCCCCGGTGGCGCAGCGGTTGAGCGCTGGGTTGCGAAGCTGTCCGCAGCCTCTGTGGTGCCGGTTCGATCCCCAGCTGCTCCCCGGCCACCAGAGGAGGGTCCCACATGGTGCGCAGACCTCTCCTGCCGCCCGCTGCTCCCCTCAGCAGTGTACTTTGGTCCTTCTGTCTGCTCTGCTCCCCTCTCTGGCTCTGGTGAATTCTCTCACCCTCCCGCGCTTCTGACTGTACCCAGTGCATGTATAAACAAAAGAAACAAACAAATAAATAAACAAAACATGCCTCTATAAAAAAAAAATGAATTAAGGCAAAGTGCATATAAATATATATATATATAAACTTAAATTTAAAAAGTTACATATTTTTGGAAGGATTGCTGTGTAAATTGTCTTGGGAGCAAGAACTATCTTATATTGATCCTTAATTCTTGTAACTAGAAAATAGCAGTAACTTCTACTTTTAGCTTGAGTCTCCTAAAAAACGGACTTAGAATAAATGTTATCATAGTTGACATTTTTCTTCATCCCTACATACTATCTCTGTGACATTGTAAAATTGGAGGTTAAGAAAACATATGGCCAATTTCCACTATATATGTATAAATATTATTTATTCTTACCATATTACATTCTTAAGTTATGGAATTCTGGAGGTTTCTTATCAACAATTCAGTAATCCTTTTTATGTTTTTTGAAAGAAATGATGCAGATATGTAGCTGTATTCCAATAATAAAGTTTGGTTTTTTCCATAGGAACAGGTCATTTTTGTCTCTTTTTGTTAAAATATTAAGCTTACCTTAAAAGTTAATGTGTGGTTAAGATACTGGAATATAAAAAGCCAAGATTAAAAATACCAGTGTGTCTTTCTCTTTTTTCTCTCTGTTTTTAATGAAAGTAACCAATTTCTCTGATGATTCTTTCAAAACTTGAAGTGAATGTTTTTCTGAGTGACTGCATTGTGTGTGTCTTTACTCTGACATTTCAATACAATGACATTTTGATCATAGTGGCAAATCTCTAGTGAACATTTTTTGCTTAGTTTTTTTGAAATACTCCTACTTTTTGTTTAAAGAAAAGTCAACATTTTTCAGTTACCTTGTTGAGTCCTTTTCTTACGTTATTGTGTTC